TATTGCAAATAAGGGAAACCATGGGACCTATGTTTCTTTGGGCCTGGCTTAGATAGCATCCATACTCCAAACGTAAATGCTAGGTATCTAAAATCAATTCTCACCTGTAATGGATTTGGACTTAACAGGCTGCAAAGATACCATATTTTAAGTAGTGAAGTTTGCTTTGCACTCCCCTTAGGTGAATTCAGTGGTGCTGTTACAATGTTAGCATGGAGAACTGTATTAAGACAAAAGGTACTGGGGGTAGGGAATTGGGTACCACTTGTCAGAACTTCCCTGTGTTAGCCCCAATGCTCAAGAAAAGTCGTTGACAAAAAGGGAAGTAAACGCTGTTCTCCAGGAAGATCAGAAATCAGAAGGCCTCTATTTATACCTAGAATCTTCCACTGTTTCAGCAGAAGCTTTCCAGACTCTTGACTCTTAAATCCACTTACAACACTCACCAAAAATCTATTCTGTGTGCCATAAGTTAATGAGGCTTCACTACAGGATGGGGGTATGTTGGGGGGCTTATTGTTACTGCTATTATTAAAGACACACACAAGCCATGCATGCTCTTTTACATTACTGTCACTCTTGTGATGTCCTAAGTTCATTCTTTACAGAAGAGAGCTTGGCTCAGGTCAGCAGGAATACATTGATTGATTCACACCCACCAGTCATGATAAGCCTACAGCTGTTCCCTCAGATGATTAATACAGATGGAGTGGTCCTAACAACTCAGCTGGGTTTGATTCTTGATGGGAGATCCACATTAGAGTAATAGTGGGAAGACGTTTCCCTGTCTGCAAATGGAAATAATAATTCCATGGCACCAGCCAATAAGGACTGACCTTCCACAAAATTGCTTCCATATTCCCAGGTTTGGCAAGATTGTGATTTCAAAGATAACATAAAATACACCTCTGCATTAAAAGCTCCAAGGAGCAGCAAGAACATGTGAGTCCCACCCCAGGGCAACTTGGGGTATTGCAATCTCCTGGGTACTGAAGTGCACTGCTATGATAACAAGGACCCTTGTGGACAAGGAGATGAAAGAAACTTATTCTTTGGAGGGGTTATAGAAGAAAAACCTTTTAGATTTTCAGCTCTACTGCCAAGTCATTTGGTATTGAGATATGAACTCCAGGCTTCAGGCTTGCTAGACAAGAGTGCTTCTATTTGCGCCATACTCCCATTCCTCTTTGCTTTTATTTCTTTTTAAATATAGTCTTGTATTGTTGCCCAGACTAACCTCAATGATCCTCCAACCTACACTTCCCACATAGCTAGGATTATAGGCGTGAGCCACCATGCCTAGCCTTTATGTTGTCCACTTTCTTAATGTAAAGTAAGTTTTGTTATAGAGAAGGAATTCAGACATATGTAAGAGGAGTGTGCTCCTGCAGGGAAGTCTCAGTAAAGCCAGGACTCTGTCTACCTTGTGTATTAGCTACTACTTAGTTTTCAGTGAATTACGCACAGCTGAAGTTCATGATGAACTGGCTGTCTACCATGGTTTAACACACATGCTTTAAATACTTAAATATTCCCAAGATATTTTTTCATAAATAAAACAATTTGAAACAGCCTCAGGAAAAATCAAGCAGTTTTCAATTCCACAAAACACAAGTAGCCTCCACAGAAATCAATCATGTGGCTTCGAGGCAGCTTTTTCTCTATGGTTTTCCTCATTTTTTTCCCCTGTGCTTAACTGGTTTTGAAAATCATTCCTTAGAAATTTTTCTCTAAATGCATCATCTAAGTCAAGATATGTGGATGTCTCTTTGGCAAAGGAAAACGAAAATGCAAATAAGGGTAGAATTTTATATCTATTTTTAGAAAACATACTTTAATATATTACTCAGCAAATGATAGCAAAGAGCACTGATACCAGTGCCTACATTTACTGAGGCTCAAAATAGCTTATTTTCCCTAATACCCCCCTATTTAC